AGAAAAATTTCGACATCGGATACGTTAAACTATTTTTTCGTACGTAAATCAGTTATCCGAAATATCAGTTATCCGGACAACCCCAGTCCCCAATTGATTTGGAAAATCGACGCTCTACTGTACTTAAAATCGGACATTATGAGCTAGAACTGTGGTAAAATTTGATGGATACCCAGCATTAAATAGGCAGTAGCTACTGTGAGGTTTCTAGGAATTTCTAGATTCAAACCCCACTTCCGTGACACCAATTTGTGAGCCACCGGGAGGTAAGAGATCCTCTCCTTCCGGCCACAGGTCGGTGACCTACTTTCTTGTCAAGGATGGCGTTTTGTTCAGTTACGCGTTACGCGAGTGGAGGAGAGTCGGAGGGGTCGACGATAAGACGTTGGCAAAGTCGAGTAACGACACCATTTAAAACAAAACAACGGTTTATTTTACTAGCTAACTAAATAAAAATTTTACAAAACTTCATAGACTTCGCGGATGAGAGAGAGAGTTTACAATAATAATCGTTCCTACCTCTTTGCACATACTAATGGGATATTTTCCCGTAATGTCGTCCTTTATGGATTCTGAGCGGTGACACAAGTATAGGTCGGCGACGAAAGTGTAGGTCTGCGATGGAGAAGGCGATGTCTGACTTCGACGTTCGGCGATTCCCCCGATGAGGGGACGGTGTCGGGCTTTTATACCGTTTTCGGTGGGAAAATTGGTCAGGTGATGAATTGTTTTCACAGGTATGGGGTTAAAGTTGGTGTTAGAATGACAACAATATGTCGAATTTTGTCGATACTTGTAAACTATTCACGGATTGATCGTGAGAATGTTTATAGTTAAATCGAAAGAGTTATAATTTTCTCATGCACCTCAAATTTCGTTTCTGCAGGTGCAACTTCTAGTTAAAGGAATTTATTAAAAATTTAAAGGATTAAATGTTTTTATTCCCTCATATAAATCTCGAATTTCACACTACAATGAAAAATAATTGAATAATCCTAATTAAACTAATTTTAACGAATTATCAATTATCGAACACTTTTTTTGAACCAATCAGTCTTGTTTTACTTAAATATTTTAAGTAAGTTTTTGTTAGAATACCCGCCAACTCCCATTATGGACATGGATGAACCGATGATGGATGTGATTAAAAATAAAGATCTTCTTAGTCTCAAAGAGCGGAAAGAGCCAAAAAGATAAATAAATAATAAAAACTGGACTATGTCCAGACGGTGCCATTGATCCATCGTCTATGACCACCGATGGTTTCGAAGCCATTGCACTGTACACTACACAAGGCCAACAGGACACAACGCTTGCACCACAGATTATTAAAAGCATATGCCTGTGAAGATATAATCTTGTACGAGACCTGAAGGTATCCATCGTTTACAATTCTTATTTGACTGTTTTAATATAAATCGGAATATTTTCGAGTAGAAATGGACAAATTAGGACATTCCGAGATGGATTTTCCATTCAAGGTGCCTAGAGTTAAGCGAATGCCTGATGAATGATTGACCACCTTTGAAAAGGTCAAAAAAACATTAGCCAGAGTTTAATTAAAATGTTGGAGTTTTTAAAGTTTATGCTGATTTATATAAGGTTATTGGATGTTTCTGTAAATGAATATTTGTTAAAAAACAATACTACATTATTTTAATTTGTACAAAACTGCTGTATTTTACAGTATTATACATTATTAAAAATTCAATAATAATGTCTTAGCACAGTGGTTAAAAGGATTAATAAAATCCTGATAAGGATATGAAGATTTATTATAATGTATCAATACGATATGTAATTTTTTCTAAGCACTGTACTGATATTTTGTCAATTACAGTTCAATGAATTTTATTAATAGAAATAAAAATATTGGTTTATAAAATAATTTGTTTCTAAATTTAAAAAAATTCTTTTATTTGATAAATAATAATTTTTTTTACAGGTTTATATTTTTGAACCTATTAATTATAAGAATCAAGAACTTGTTCTTCGAAAAAAGATATTAGGACATAAGGTAAAATATAATATAGTACAATGTCAAATTTATTAAGTATGAATATAAAATGCACATTATGATATATCTCAGTCCATCTGTACATGTCCAGTTTAGCAACATGTATATCAATCCATTTATTACACATTGCTAAACTACAATGAAAATTTTTTCCTTAGTATTTTTGGTGAAAGTAATATCATTGAAATAATATACACTTTACAGATTTATTATTCATAATTCATATTCAAATATAGATTATGTGAAATGAAATTTCTAGGCTAACAATATTTAAATTGTTATCAATAAGGAAACATGAAATGAATTTGTTGATAAATACTCATATAAATTAGAAAAGATTTCTTATAAAATTTTAAATAGAAAAAAGTGAAAACAATTTTTCTGCACAACTTGTTAATTTTGTCTTTTATGAAAAATCTATAGATCTTCCTTTTTATCTTTTTTCTTGTTTTTATATATTTTTCCATTCATTTTATATCAGTAATTCTCATTACAAAGCATTTACAAACCAAAAATATCCTCAAAGTTAAAACAGCCAAAATTTTAAATAGCCAATGTGGGGTGTATTAGAATTTTTAAGTAGAAAATGTGAGCCTTCTGGCACATTTTAAAAATACACTAACAAAGTTAACCAGAACATACTTGAAAATAGTAATACTTACATAGTTTTAGTATAAATAAAATTAGAAATTTATATCAAATTAGAAAAACACATCTATTCAAAAGTTACATAACAATTTTATAGAGACATACAGTTTGGCTAAAATGGCTCTTGCATCCATAAAACAACCAACTAACAAATGGATTTGTTTTGCCATCATAAAATTACTGCACAAATCAATGTAAAAGTCATTGCAACATTCCCCCTTAAATTTGAACATAAGCATAGTATTTACTGTATCCATCTTCATTATTGTTTCTGATGTTTAAATGTATTTCATTAAATTCAATAATAGTCAGGTAAAAAAACCTGAAATTATTAATTTGACAACTGTTTACATCATACATAACAGTGACTAACTGATAGCTTCAGCAATCAAGCCGCATTTTATACGTGAAATTTGCCTGCAACAATATATTAAATAAGAACACAACTCCAATTTCTGAAAATAATAACAAAAATTTGTTGTATTGGAGTTCTGAGGTCCAATAAAACAATGTATTAAATCAACTGAAGTAGTTCCCAGTTGGCACCATGAGTAACCAGTACAGTTATATCTAAATTACTGTATATTTCTGCAGATAAGATGAGGTATAAATTTTCATCAAAGTTTTATAGTTTTAGCATATATCTGTTCTATAAGATGACCCCCAAACTATCAACAGCCTATGAATTTAGATCAGCAATCATCATCTGGATAATAATACTGTATACCGTATACAGAATTATGTCCTATTCGTAATTTTTCAAATGAACAAATTTTATTTTCTTGCATCTGGCAGCCTTGCCTTGCTATTGTTGCAAACATTCACACTGATTCGGGCATTTGGGTAATGACCTTGACTATTCACAAAAATGTTGCATGGACTATTCTATTTTGTGGACATACCCTACTCTCTACTAGTAAATAATTATGGTTTGTCTGTTTTTTTACAATGGTTTTAATTTATATAAATTTCAATCTAATTTCTTTTGTATCTGCTCTATAAGAAGACCCCAGATTTTGGGGAGGGGCCTTCTTTTATGATTCAACTATTGTCTTATCTGCAGAAATATACAGTAATAGTTCTGGAAGCAAAGATTGAACAGAGGTCCAGGTAGCAAAACTGACAAAACTGTCAAGAAGGGAAGCTTGGGATTTTTTTCCAGGCCTGGAGAAAACTTAGGGGCTTGTAGTGGTTTTTACTCCTTTATATTTTGTAGTGGTTTTTTTACTAACAAAATAACAACAGAAAATAAAATCATTAAAACTGCTTTTTGTTAATAAAAAAATATTTTATGTATTTCATTTGTTCAAAAAAACAAGGTTCCTGCTAAAAGACAAAAACAGGTCCACTAGAGGCAAAAGGCCCAACTCTACTGCCTAGTTTGCCTGGGTCCCATACAAACTCTTGATGGCTCTGCCGTGACAGAACAACTATTGAAATTTGGGACTCTTGCTCAATTTGGGATGATTGATTGGTAAACAAAAGTATGATTTGAATTCACAGTTTGGTAAACAATAAACAATATCTTAACAAATTTTGTTACCAAACAGATAAATATTTTGATTTTCTTCATTAATAACACATTTATGAAGTATCATTTAGATGCTAATAATATTGTTGATAATAGATAATAGATGTTACAGTAGGTCTTAAACGTGAAAAGTAAAATATTTTAATAAATTTTTAGTTTGTAATTTAAACACTATACAGAATAATCATAAAAACATACCAGTAAACTCCTGTCACTTGGGTTAAGTTATAAATCAACTAACGATTCACATAATAAAGCGAAAGCAACAAAATATCTAGCAGGCAAGCGGCTAACAGCAGTAAGTAAAATCATTAAAAACAATATGGCGTGTAACTTACACCTACAAAACAACGTAAAGTTGGTGCAACTCTGTAAAGCGCATGGGCAAACGCGTATAATCAGGTTGCTTCACACCATTCATATGTTTTCGCCGTAAAAGCTATCTCCTATTCAACAACACAGCGCTTCCATTCTGCCACTGGTATTCGAATATACAAAAGCAATCTTAANTTTTGAAGGGATCAGATAAACCAAATTCAAGATTTGGAACATCAATTGCTAATTGTGGAGATCTTAATAAAGATGGCTTTTTAGGTATAATTACTATCTTTTTTATATTAAAAAAATAAATTTCAGAGTAAAATAAGATAAATTGAATGAATATAAAAACTATTTTTTAATTGTATTAATGCTAATATACAGTAATGTAATGCAGATTGCTATGGTTGGGATATTATCAGAATAATATTTTATTTTTGCAGTTAAAGGAATAATGTATTCCAACTTGAAAAATTATTACTAATTTTTTAAAATATTTATTATTTTCTTTTATATTTAAAAATTTGTTTATAAATTAGTTCATATTCTGTTCAATATCTGAAGTGTGGAGAAAATGTACCAAGATTTGAGTAAAATTTATTACTTAAATTTAGTTTTAATATTAACTAATCCAACAGCAATATATAATTTTATTAATTGCTATATTCAGTATATAATAAATTAAAATCTTTGTTCATAAATCAAGTAAGTCCATTCTATAGGCATTCTATAGTAGAATTCCACATATTGCTACATATTCATTGCAAAAGATATGGGATACCTTGTCTATAATTCCACTGATATATATGTAGCTGTCAGTGATATAACCAGTATGCTTTAATACCTGCATTTGTGTTTTTTTGTGAAGAGGCATCCATTGTTATGCAAACTCCATATTGTATCACCCGATAAGCAAATATAATACAGTACTTTATAATTCACTTGTACCCAATGAAATTCAATAATAACTTTAAGTTTCATTCAATAGTTAAGATGCTCATTCTATATAATTAATAAATTATTTATTGTCTCAATATCACTGTTAATACTAAGTTTATAATGTAGTATATGAATTCATTATAGTGTTTAATTTCAAATGTGGTATACTAGCTAAAATTATTTTTCTTAAAATTTTCTTATGAAAAACTGAATGTTAGTTAATGGGTACATTCCAGTATGCATCAAACAGTGCATTGGTGAACCATAATATAGTAAAATACCTTCTGATATTCACTTATGAGTTTATTAGTACATTGACTGATGCACTCATTGAGCTGTGGATATGGTGACTCTAAGGAAGCAGTATGGTCACCATTTTAATTAAATTATTAACACCATTTTTACTATACATCTGTATTAGTCTAAAGTTATTTTGGGAAAATAAGTCTGCAAATGTAAATATAGCACTGTTTAATTCCGCCATCTTGTTAGGTTGCCAGAGGTCAAAGTAAAAGCTTATTAATTAAACTGTTCACCAGTGCATCCTTTATTGCTTAGGCTGATGCTTACTGGAATGTACTTAATGTCATAAATATTTAAATTAGTCAAAGCAGGGTTTTAAAATTGACTGGATGAACTAAAATGATTTCTGCCTTTTACTTTACCAGAAAGATGATTAAGCATCCTTGATAAAGTAAAATAATAAAGAGAAAAGAGCTGAATAAAATTTTATGTCAGATAAAGCTGAAAATAGTTAATATATAGCTGAAAACATTGATATAAAAGAAAATATAAATATAAACTTCATAATTTCAGATATTGCAATTGGTGCTCCATATGAAGATGAAAAAGGAGCAGTCTATATTTATTTTGGTTCAGCAAATGGTGTGAAACCAGATTTTGTACAAGTACGTTTTCTTTATATCAACAGAAAATATAAATCAATTGTAAATAAATAATTAAATTATATATCCATTTTAAATAGAGAATAGCAGCTAAGGATTTTGGAGTTGAATTATCAGGATTTGGAATAGCAATATCAAAAGGAAAAGACATTGATTCCAATACTTATCCAGGTAAAATACCAACTTTAATATAAATCTAAAACTTTGTTTATAATAATTTTTATAAATTTTTAAAGCTTTGGTTTCTATGGTGTTAAATTCTATTATTTGTAGCTTAATAAAAAAACTAAAATTTATTTGATTAATGCAATGTTATATTACAGATTGTTATTAAGATATTTTAAATACTGTATATGAATTATAGAATTATTTCTTTAAAAATTTCACATTTAAAAGAAAACTTGATATCTAAGATTGTTAATTCTGTAGATAAATTCAAATATTAATTCTAATTTATATAAAAATAATTTCTTTCTGCAATAATTTTTTTTTAAAATTTTCTGAAATTAATATAGGGGAGACCGGGGCAACTTCGGCATGCGGGGCAAGTTTGTCAAGCGCTTTTTTTAAAAAACAAATTAAAAGGAGACTTTGGTTATAGGTTAGGCAGTTGAGTTTTATTGGTGGCTTGTTGAGTGTAGTGTTTTTATTGTTCTCCA